CTAATCTAATCTAATCTAATCTAATCTAATCTAATCTAATCTAATCTAAAAGCCAAGTAGCAGAAATACTTCTTCAAACAGAAATATTTATCCACTTTCCCCCAAGTTCCTTCACTATTACAAATAGTGGAATTTACCTTGTAAACACCGGTAACTGGGATTGAATAACTTGAACTCTGATGACAACAAGTAGTAGGGTACTGAACATCAGAACAATTAGTTTCAATAACATTTGAAGCATACAGTAGGGAATGCTGCCTTTGCCTCGAAGAATGTGTAACGCTGTATACCAAAGAATTGGCACAGTATACTGGATAAGGAAATAAAAATATAAACAAAATTCAAATGAATTTTCTGACACCATGTATCACACAAGCAAACTTCTTCCACATAATTCAATCCAAGTGTGCAGGTCTGCAACTCCCCAAATTCCCAAACAAGGTAGCAGTAATTCTGGGGATTTCATTCAACTGAAATCCACCCCCCAAAAAAAACTGTTTGGGGGGGGGGAGGAGGGAGGAGAAGAGCCTTCAAACAGGATTCAAAACCCTTTCTGTCTGCCCCCTTCATTTGAAGCTTGTCTCATGATTAATGTAACCAAACACTTTTAAGTTTTATTCACCAATAATACTGAGTTCTGTCATACATCAAAATCTTTTTCAATTCAATAAGCTATTCATGTTATATTCACTGACAATACATTTAACACAAATCCAATGTTTAGTGCATTTAAAGTACCCATTAACACAACAATGCCAGTATTCTATGCATGCTAGGATGCTTAGGTCCTCAAGCCATACACTTCACACATCTGTCTTGTAGAAAATAGTTCATGTTATCTCCTAGATTTAGAACAGTCTTAAAAAGCGAGTTGTTGTCTTATGGCAATTTAATTGTATTATCGTCCATTCTGAAGTTTGCTTGTTCGCTCCTGACACATTTCTTTTTCACTGGCTTTGTTATCATGGGAAAAAAATATTTTTAGGGTTGATGTAGTTGTACCAGAAGTAACGGGGTACAGGGGAAATAACTTTAATAGATAAGAAATGGGAGGTCTGTGGATTCATTTGCCAGTAATTCAATAATAGGGGCAAAGTTTTCATTTGGTATTTTTAGCTTTGGACAACACCTATTGCATGTGAGATGTCATTAGTATCTTGCATTTGCATGGGCTTTGGAACTCAAGTGAGATATGATCTAGTTCAGTGTTTCAAATGTGGCAACTTTAAGCTGTGTAGACTTCAACTCCCAGAATTCCCCACTCAGCATGTGACTCGGAACTCTGGGAGTTGAAGTCCACACATCTTGAAGATGACAAGTTTGAAAACATTGATCTAGTCAGTCTGGAATTTATTTGAGTATCCTCCTTTAGCACAAAGAGATCCCAAATAATCTTTATGGTACTTTCAGTCCTATTCTGCAATAAAACCTGTGGGGACTAAATTATTCATCTAGATATATTCATTAAATCTAATACATGCTCCTGTGAATAGAAGTGACATATTTTAATTTCAGATCTGAAATTGAATCAGATAAATTCCTTACCCCTTGAGCAATAAATACTTCATAGACACAGCATATCCCCACCACCGTTACTCCTTGTTCCTTACATAATGTAGCAACAGCCACTAAAAAAACTGTTGCTGCAATAGGAGTCCACACTGCAATGTAAGATACAAAAACAGTTAGTCTTCGTGAATTTGGGAAAAGTAACATTGCATTTCAAATGTCAGCCTGGAAATATTTCCTTACGCTCTGAACACTGAATGTACATTGTCTTGCCAGATGGTTTTATTGAAAGTGACATTTTATAGCTATTTAAGAATAGAAGTACCATCTTATACCATTTGTAGATGCCATGCCAAGGCATAGTCCTCCAATCTGGTGTTATCCAGAGGCCATGCCACAACTTCCAAAATCATAGGGCCTTTGCTCTTGTTTCCTTAAATTAGGATTGGGTGACCTTATATAGATGTGGACTTTTCTTAAAAATATTTTTTGTGGTGAGACACATGGTGGCAGAATTGCAGCAAAGAATGATTGATTCAAGTGCTAAGAGTATGATTGGGATGTATCTCTCTCTGGCACCTCATATGCTTTCATTTTAAAATATACTTCACTTTTAGCCATAGAACAGGAGAAAATGAAATGACTTGTTACACAGTGATTTGAAATCACACAAACCACTGCAGATTCCTTATCTGGGCTTTAAATAAATACATTGAAGGTATTGGGGGTGGGGGATGAATTATTGACCACTCATTGTTTGCTTTACCTATAGTGTTTTCAGGCCCTCTGGATCTGGTATAGGACAGAAAAGCAGCTAGAAAAAAAATTGAGGAGAGAAGTTCTGCTCTGCCCACCACACCAGTTACCTAAATAAAAGATACAGCAATATAAATCATTTAAGCAAAATGAGATAAAATATTAAAGTAAGGGACAAAAAAAATCTTATATATTTATATTCAAGTTCTGATTTTCCATTGTGGAAGTATGCAAGGATAGAACTAGACTGCCATCATGTGGATAAACAAGGAAATGCCCTTATTCTAAATTAATATTATAAGTAAACTGAAGATGCTCTGAGCTCAAGCCCAACTGCTATAACACATCCATGGACTTTTCCTGAGGATAGGACAGTATATATAGTATATGTAGTATAGCCCTTGCCTTTTTCAAGGGTGCTTTTCAAACTCCCAGCCTACATCCCCAGATCAATCATTGCTGACTTGCTCGGCTATAACTTGCAGAACATAGGAAGAAAGCAAGTTGCCACATCAGAGATGTTTTATTTTTACTTGGGAATGAATTTTGGAAAAAATGTGCATTATCCCAAACAAATATGACCTAGAATAAACTTTCCTTACTTTTTTGGTTGCGTGTTATAAATGGACGGGAAGGAAAGAAAAAATAGAGTAAGAAGTGACTGACTCATTCAGAGACCAAGAATGAAGGAACATGTTGATTGCTCTGTGAATATGTGCTTAGAAAAAGCTCTTTGGATTCAAAAGACATGATGTAATCTGAGTACTGTGTATGTACATAAACAGTCATTTTGCCAAGCAGAAGCACTGCCAAACACATGACCTTGGAACGTTCTTGACACAATTGCACAGAGCCTTCAAGAGGACAAGCTGCCTCACAGCTTTAACAAGGGAGCACATTCAAGGAGCACATTCACTGCTTATGCCAATTCACTTCCTAAAGCACACTTCAAATGCATTAACACAATCATGCGGTAGCTGGAAAGGTGATGTCTGTAAGTAAATGATAGATTTAAATGTAGATGCATTTGAGAATAGCCCCCTTATCCCACCCCCCCCATTTCCCTAAATTGTTTTCTCACTATCATCACCCTGCATTGTTTCAGAACTCCCCACAGTTCGAATTAGCAAAAATTTTAAATTTACTTACTGCTTCAGTATGTATGGGATGCACTGCAAATAGTAAAGATGCAACCAAACTGCTTTTATTGTCTAAGAAAAGCTTACAGACTTTGAGGAAGATGATACAAACAATTGCATGGAAGATGACGTTCAGGAAGTGGTAAGAAATAGCATTTAATTCACTGAAAAGATAGTTCAAACGAAATGTGAAGACAGTGAAGGGTCGATATGACTTATGACTTCTCTCCTAAAAAGACAAAACAAAGAAGTAAACAATATCACATAGAAAGGAATAAAAGAAAGGAGTAAAAGCTATTGCTAAAATGGAAAATTCTAAAAAAATGTTTTAGAAGCCTAAACAAATAGTATATGTGTCTTTCCCCTTAAAGATCATGCTCAACAAACAGCCAGATAGCCAAACTAGGCAAATCTGTTCAAATCAATCTCTTCCTCTCATCATATACACACTGCACAAATTCAGTCCTTTGTGCATTGCTAAGAATGCAAGATTACATTATATTTTCTCTTCAAACATTCAAAATAACACGAGTAGGAGTTTTGGAAAATTGCCAATGTCCCTCTGAGCCTTGGGGGCATTCATGACAATTTTGTTTGCTTTGTTTGCTCAAAAACATATCAAATCTTCTCCCTTAAGTTCTCTGTATATGACAGTCTATTTGCTCATTCCAATTTTTTTCGGATATACGATGAGAGTTTATAAGAGGAGTATGAATTTCAGATAATCTAGTTTGAATTATATTGATTTTTCCTATAGTATTTATTTATTTAATTAATTAATTAATTTGTATGCCGCCCACTCTCAAAGAGACTCTTTAATATCTTGATGATCAAGATTTCTATCCTGGTTATCATATATGTTATAAATTAAAAATGAATGGAAAATAAAATATCAGTATTTGGTAAAATATCATTGAAGGCTGCAGTGACATTTTTGAAGTGCAAGGTAGGTCTTGCACATTGGTTCAATGCTTTATAAAAATGCTTTAAGTGTCCTGTAGAGGTATTACCTCAGACATGGGTGTTCCCCAGAAGTCATTCAAAAAAAGATTCTTAATTGGAGTTGAAGGATGCAAATCTTTATTGTCCAAAATGGCGGAAACATCATCAAAAACAAATCCACAAAATAGACTGTTCCAGTAGCAAGCAGCCACTACTCCACATATTAGTGCAAATTCCTTTGAGCTAACATAAGCCATCTTCTCCGGAACTCATACAAACTATCTGTAAAACAAATTGCAGCTTGTTTTAAACATCTGCTTTCATCAACATAAATATACACAGTGAAGATCAACTGAAAGCTAAAAGATTGCTGCTTATCTCCATAAGTAAACAACACTTTTCACAAAAAATGGACCCATTTTCGCATAAAGGCTGCAGCTTTATATCCTAGCAATACTGCTTTGCTGGTTTCACTCATTTGCTTCCACATAGACTTCAAACAGTGATAACATCTGGTATTTTGCTAATTACGGTTTTGAAAAAAATAGTTCAAAAAGATGGACTGCTTCATAAATGCTTAGAGGAGAATCATCTATTCCAACAATACTTTCAGTAATGCTTTGGGGTGGGTGGGGAGTGCGGTGAGAGGAAAGCTACTACCTTATACACTGAGCTTCACTTCTAAAGAGATATTCCTGGGTTTGTATTGTTAGTCTCAGGAATTGTAATATCCCAATTCCTTTTCTTTCAATGACAAGAAAAGCTAGCTTTGAATTAAAAAGAAATAGCATGTCATCCTTAGGGACCAAATCACAGATTCCAAACTATGTTACCTTTCTTTTAAATGAGATATGTTTCCTTCAAATATTATTTTCTGCTTTAAGAGTTAATCTTCTTAAAATTAACTGTCTCCTTACCAGGCTGCTGGCCATAGGCATGCATTAAAAACTGATCAGGAATTTAAGCCATGTTCTCTAGTTTAACATAGCACACAAATACATACAACATATTTCCTATATATTGGAATAAATAGCAAGGAGGAAAAGAGTAACAGGTGATTATAGATAAATTAAAATCATATATATTACTTATTGATCAGAAAGTAACATATAATTTGCAATGAAAATGTATCTCCTTTAAAATACATTTTATTCTGAACGATACTGTATTAATCTACCAATATAATGATAACACTTTAGCTTCTTAGATTGCTATAAGTCTTTCAGTACTTTTCAGCTAAGTACCATGCCATACGTTATTTTATAAAGTTTACAGGTCCTATTAAACAGATTAAAAACTTTAAATTGTCTTATTAAAACATAAGATTGTATACTATGGATGGACCTTTTCAGACCATATAAATCTTAACCTGCTAACAAGTGCTGATATCTTGCTATCCACTGAATTGTAGCAACTATTGATGTAATATTGCATTGTAATATTATTGAATATTACAATATTGAATATGTAATAATATTGAATTGTAGCAACTGTTGATGAAATATTGATGTAATATTTCTGGATGTAATATTGCAATCAAAATCCATAGACTCTTCAGTTAATCAGCAATTGCTGAAAATATATGGGCACTTGGAACTAGTGGTACTGAGTAAAATAAAATAGCTCCTCGTGAAAAAGAAATTGGTAGGCAAATATATCCTGCCAGAGAATTCCTTACTTAAAAGTGGAAAATTATCATATTAGTCTGGATATGGTTCTTATGACAGAGCCTTAACTAGGAGGTAATGACTTATGTAAAATTATATAAATTCAGTCTCTGAAGAAAGGTGAGAATTATGGTCTCTTAAATTTATTACCAGATTATTCTATCTTGCAATAACAGAATATCAAAATGTACATAGAGAGAAAAAGGCATTTTCTTTTACTGAATGAAATCAACCACCATTATAAAAATAGTTTTCAAAGGAATTGTACAAACATTTGATTTCATCAGTAATCTTGAATTGACATATTCAATCTGCTCACCAAGATTTTTATGCCCAGATTAAAATAACAATGCACATTGCAAAAAAAATTAGTCATGCATTTTATCTTACAATGAAGCAATGATTAAAGAATTTGGGATGAGTGTCCAAAAATCAACATTTTTAGAACATTTACCTTATCAATCAAGCAGAAAATGTTTTTTCATTTATGCAAATTCTTCAAGAGAAGCCATTTCTAAAATCTTTTTTCCAATCTGTATTACTTACTACTATCAGTAAGTGACCTGTTACATGGATCTTTACTAGGACAAAGGGAAAGAAAAATAAGACAGTCTTAGAAAACATATTTAGGTCAATTTCATTTAAGCCACCTTAGTTATCTTAAACTGTTGAAATTGCAGAATAGACACACTCTTAAACTGGGCAAAATATTGCATGACAATATTAAGATTATCCAAAAATATAAACTGAGAAAACACTTGTAATTAAGCCAGTTCTAATATTAATATAGTATCATTTAATGACTTCAATTGATTCTGGCAAAATGGTCACAGAGCAACACCGTTACCAAGTAAACCATGTGTGTAGAGATAAGATACGTAGAGATGCTGAGAAGGCCGCTGGTTGCTACAATTTCATTCAGATAAAGTTCTCCCACACAGTATCCTATCCCTTTCCCATTTTTCTGCCTCGCACAGCACAGAGACTTCTCTTCTCGTGTTGTCTTCCCAGCTTAGCCCTTCCTAACCATAAGTTAACAAGCTCAACTGTGACCTTAATTAGTTGATTAGAACCCTCCTTCTGGATGGCTCCCTGAAACTGATTAGACCTTAAGCCAATTGCTAACTGGAAGAGGCTGGTCCAGTAAGAGTATCAGATTTTCATTAGAAGTTCAGTATGAAGCAATCTTGGACATATGCTAAGAATTGCTTCCTTACTGTTTCTGCTATCTACAAAGCTTATTGTTAAGTCTAGGAGATGATTTTCTGCCTAACTCTGCATAAAGTGATGGCATAATCTTCCTTGCAATTTCCTGCTACTTTGATAGGGAAAACTGGAGATAGCAGTATTGTATTTCACCATGAAAAAAAAATCTCACATGCACACCCAAAAATCACACTTATCACCATCAACTAATACTTTACTACCTCGGTTCCTCATATTCCTCTCCTTTGCTGCACCCACTGTTTAAAAATGACAAAATAATGACATGATTTCGAAGAGAGTTGCTTATAAAGAAAGAATGCTTAGTAAAAGGGTTGTGGTTCATGACAGAGTATAGCTTTGTATGCGAAAGTCTCTCAAACTTTTCAGTGTCTGCTTTTTCCAAGTAGTAGATAATGTGGAAAAACTCTCTTGGAGCCATAAGAACATTGCCAGGTATAGTAGACAATAATGGATTAGCAGAAGTCATGTACCTTTATAACCAGTGAACTATCAGATATATTCTAAGTGATTCAGTGATGACCAGCTGAAAAAAGTTAGCATATAATATGAACAAATCTAAATGTCTTTTCTAAAGGGTCCAAATCGCCTTACATAACACAAAAACACAAAAAATAAAGTTAAAAATACAGTTGCTTTCATTTTGAGTGGGAAAAGTAAGAATTTTGTAAGAGTCAACAGAAGTAACTTGGTTCAATTTACACATATACCTTGACTTAAAACAATGAGCTTTTCTTAGTGCACACTTTTTCCCCAAATAATTATGTAAGACTCTTCACTATTATCTTTGCATAGTTCGTCACTGAAAGTAACTCTGCAGGTGAATAAGGGATCTCTGGGCAATGGAAAGGCAAAATGTAGGCAGATATACCTGGAAGGTATCTCTGTCTGTCTATCCTTACCTTCTACCTTTCCAGGTGTGTGTGTGTGTGTGTGTGTGTGTGTGTGTNGATGGCATAAAAGGTAATGGAGAACAAAACAATGAAAGCAACCTAAATTATTTTATTGTATGAAACAATATTTATTCTCATTCTTAAGAGGAAAGCAATACAAAATAAAATATTCATTTCTTTGACAAAAAAAAGTCAAACAACTGAAAGTCACTTCCCCTCCAAAGAAGAATCAAGACTCTACTTTAAGCTTCGTCTGTGAATTTAGTTTTGATGTTTAATATAACAACAATTGGCCCAGCCACAACTATGGTTTATATTATACAGGAAACTGAGGGGACAGAAAGAGCCAATATTTTATTTTAGAAACACATCTGAGTTGACAGAGCTTATGTGTTAACAAGAAAAAACAGTAAAAATGATTAGAAAGGAAAGGATCTACATTTTTAAAGAAGAAGCTAAAGCAAACCGTTTCTAAAAACCCTTCATTTCTTTCTCAGGTGCTATGAATCTTCGAAACAAGCAGAGATAGTAATAACAGGAACTACAGAAAAGAGAAAATGATGCAAGGACATTTAGAAAATCCTTTTCACTTACTCTCAAGTTAAGAGTTGCCCACAGGTTATTTTAAAATATTTACAGCATTACATAAAGGCACTGATACCATGACTGAATTGATGAAACATAAAATAAGAGGATAACCATTTGAAAAGTCTTGCAAATCACTGTTTTCAAGAAACGTTTACCGTAAAAGAGTACTGTAGAGTGTTCCGTTTAAGATCCTGAATACTTGGAAAAATTTCAATTCTAATTTGATTAGTTGTTTTATTTTATCTAATTCAGCGTTTCTCAACCTTGGCGATTTTCAGTCCTTTGGACTTCAACTCCCAGAATCTCCCAGCCAGCATAGCATAAATTAGTTTATTTAATTGTTAAAACATTAATGACAACTTTAAAAAATGTAGTGGTTTTTGAGATATATTTTCCTCCCTTCCCCCAGAATGAAGTTCCTACATTTTGATGATTATGATGTGGAAAAGATGGTAAAAGCAAGTAAAGATATTAAGCCACTCAGACAACTATTCCATGCAAGTTATTTCATCTTTAGTTCCCATTCATGCCCCACCCTCACTCGTTTCCCCCAAACAATACTTTTTAACCTACCTGTTACTTGACAGCTTTTTCCACCCATGAGCAACTAGCATGCAGAATCCCATGCTGGGAACATATAACACTCGTTCTGCTACTACGAAGCCAACAGGGAAAAAAAGGTTTGACGCTGGGATGAATGGCAGAACTATTAAACAAAGTGCCTAAAACAGCAAAAGAAAAACACACACAAACACTAGCTAGTAACCCAAAACAGAAAAGTACTTAAGCATTATACAGACCTACAGCATACATGTCTGTGAAAGAGGCATTGATTTAATTTTACATTTAGAATCCCTATTTTTTCCCTCTAGAGTTCTGATGGAATCAGTAACTTGCTATTCTATGCTGTTAGCAAATCTAGATTTATCTTGTGTCCCTTCAAAGTATGTCTACAAAGCTTGTCTTCAAAGCTACTTCTTAAAAAGGGACTTATGACCATTTTTCACACTTTATGACCATTGCAGCATCTCCATGGTCACATAATCAAAATTCAGGTGCTTGGCAACTAGTTCGTATTTATGATGGTTGAAGTGTCCTGAGATCACACGATCCAGCTTTTGCAATCTTCTGAGGAACAAAGTCAATGGAAAATACAGATTCACATAACAGCCATGTTATTAACTTAACAAATGCAATAATTCATTTAACAACTGTGGCAAGCGAAGTTGTAAAATGGGGCAAAACTCACTTAACAAATGTTTAATTTAACAACAGAAAGTTTGGGCTCAATTGTGGTCGAGGATTACCTGTATTCATCTATGTGTATAATCACTTTGTTATGTACAATCACCAAATCTAATGAAACAGAGCAAACCTTTAGTGAACTGGATAACTGTAGTTAAAGAGCAATAGCACTTAAGACTTATATATTACTTCATAGTGCTTTAAAGCTCTCTCTAAGCAGTTTATAGAGTCAGCATATTGACTACAACAATCTGGGCCCTCATTTTACTGACCTTGGAAAGATAGAAGTCTGAGCCAGTCAGGATCAAACTGCTGGCAATTGGCAGAATTAGCCTGCAATATTGCATTCTAACCATTGCGCCACCACAGCTCTGTTTAAAGATTTAAATTGGCTTGTTTAAAGGTTTTAAACAAGCCAATCAAAAACATATTGATTTAACTGCAAGTTATGAAAGGAGCAATGGATTGAATAGATTCGTTAATAACAGACTCATAGAAATCAGAGGGGCTTATATCAGTTCAGACTTATCCATTGTCTTCACTGGATATGATCTTAAGTCTAGAGAAGACCTACATGTTTAGGGAAAGATGCATGGGCCTATATCAGAATCGTGTTATAAACAAGCATATTATAGTTACTTCAAAAAGAGACAAGAGTCCAAATGAAGCAGTGTAATGTTCGTATATATCTAACTCTACAGAACAGCTTTTGCCAGCATACACATCATCCAGACTGATGTATTTCAAATCCCAGAATTCTTCAATTGGCATAGAGAGAATTCTACGAGTTGAATTCCTCATATTTGGAAGCCACTCAGGTTGGAGTTAAACTGCTGTAGGAGATCCAAACCAAATGCCAATATTGGAACAGTTTATTCACAACCTTTCTAATTCCTTGAAGTTTACACTGCTAGATCTGCTTAGCTTTAGCAAAACCTTACCAAAGATTTGATTGCAAACAATAGATCTGCATTTGTCACTGCACATGCAAGCAATTGGGTTAGTTACCTCTGATGCACTCCTAGTTCTTTGTAAGGTTATCTGCCTAAATCTGCTTAAAGGCAGGGCAGCCATCCTTTTGCTTCCACCACTGAACATTTTACATAAGTTATATACTGCTCTGAGAAAGCTATGTTATAGCAGCATAGAGTATATGCAAGTTTAATAGACTCTGATGCCCAGATATGTCATACACAGTATGTCCAGTACATTACATACATACATTACACTGGGTAATATGGAGTGGTGAGCACTGTTCCCTCTAAGGTGCGCGCCTGCGCGGCCGCGCACATCACAAAAAAAGCCCGCGCAGCAGATTCTATCTGCCGCGCAGAGTTTTCTGTAAAGCAAACGTGGGGAAGTCCTTTGCAGGCGGCTAGAACTGGCCGCCTGCAAAGGACCTCCCCAGACTTGTTTTGAAGAGCACGGCTCTTCAAGTCCTTCCTGCGAGACCCCGCCCAGAAAATGCGGAGAGCGGCAGAGGAGAGTGAGTGGGTGGGTGGGGAACTGGTTGACGCTCTCGTTTCACCTTGTTTCTCCCCCCCCCCTTCCCTCCCAATCGTCAATGCATGAGTTGGCCTTTCTCCGTTCATTTGGGCTTCTGCTCGTCCGTCTTTCTCTACCCGCCTCTGCCTAATAATTGCTGCCTGGACTCGCTTTGCCAGCAAAGGCAGGATC